ATTCAAAAGTCTGGGTGAATGATTTTTCAGATGCGAAGGTGGTAGACAGATTTGGTGCGCCAGTCACAGCAATAACTATAAAAAAAAATCTGCCACTAGCACAACAGAGCGAAAACACCAACAGGAACACTTCGTGGTATTTCCGAGTGTCCGAAGAGTGGAGGACCTTGCGTAATTTCAAAAGAGCGGACATCGAACAGTTCCCCAATAGCCACACCTGTACAACTGACGAAGTGAACCACGTACTTGTGTGTTTTGCAGTCGAAGCTCGCAGAGCGGATGGCTCGCCGTACCCCTCAACCCCACTCTAGGACCCTATACAGCTGTCATATATATATATATATAAGAGAACATGGTGTGACAGATAAAACTTTCTGGATTCTAAGGATGATCTTTTTATAAACTTTCGGAGTACACTAGACGCCAGAAGGTAACAACTGACACGAGAAGACACCGTTATATAACTGAAACAAGCGGGCCCTATTACCCCGGAACAAGGAAAACCCATTGCAAGAGTCAGGCATTCTCGGAAAAGCTAGTTCCCAAACTGTTCTATTACAACTGCGAATTATTCGGGCTGCAGGGCCATCACGAACACCCCCGATCTACAAACGTCGCGATTCAACTGTGAGTGACTAGCGAAGGGAAAACATATATTGAATTCCAAGGACGAACCAGCAAAAAGCTTGCCGGGACTGCATCAAAGGAAAAGTTTGGCCAAAAGTGTCCTACACTTTTCAGACTCAGGACACTCCCTAAGTTTATATGATATCTACACAGGGTATACACCGACTGTAGCAGAAGGCCCGTTTTACAGAAGACCTCTTGCTGGTTGGAAATGTGGAACACGGCCGATTGGAGTGAATTAACTGGATAATTGTGAGAAAAAAACAACACATGGCTTAATTCATTTTCGTATTCACCAACACTTATCTTGGTGTCAGTAATATATCCACATAAATGATACTAACAGACGATTTTGGAAAGAGATCTACCATTTTCTGAATGTCCTTATTGTTTTTGGTGGTAAAACGACTGATTAATTATGTACATGACATTTTGCCTTTCAAATGAAATTTGACAAGTACTTATGTATAAATGCAGAAACCATAATTTAGTGTAAAATTTGTGCTAAGCATTTTACCCATTTTTTAAAAGACATTAACAAGGCGAAAATCCCTCATTCCACTTGGCTTGGCTGTTCCAGCGGCTGATATGCGATTACGTGCTACTTCAGTTTTTTTTTTACGTGACTGGGAAAGTACCGTCTGCTAATTGATAAAACACGTTCTACTGTTCATTTCCTCAAACTCATCAGGTGTAATATACAGGGTTTTATTTCTTCTTTTCTGGTATATATTGGCATGGCCGCAGTCAGTGATGAGGATGTATTGGAGAATTTGCGGTAGTACCCGGGAAACCCAAGATCTTCGGGACCAGAATGCATTGATCCTTGTCGATAATCTCTTCAACTTTCTCAGTATTAGCTGTCTGATATCTGATTTAGATGCAAAGAGTTTGAAATATTTATTTTTTATTGGAGTAATTAAAAGTCTTCGGCGACAGATACCTGTAACTCCCATTATTAAGTAATCTGGTAAGATTTCGTTTTCTTTTCTCCAAGTGTTCCGGAAAAGGGATTGAAAATGTTACCACATCATTCATCAGTATAGGAATGAATCCATCATTCGCAGTTCCCTTAGACATTTTTTTATCGGTTTGTGATGAGTGACAGGACCGTTGGCTAGGTCAAATGGTAGACGATTAATTCTAAAACCCCTAGGCGTCTCGATGTAAAAGCAGTTTGGTGTTTGTCGTCTTTCTCGTCTTCAACCTGCTAATATGCACTTTTCATGACGAGAAGAGGAGAGTACTTGAACTTAGAATTTCCTCAATACATGGCAAGTTATAGACAGTATTAACGATAAGACTTTTAAAGGAAAATAAAACCCAGACTGATATCAATAGAACGTTTGTCGACAATACTACAGACTGATATCAATAGAACGTTTGTCGACAATACTACAGACTGATATCAATAGAACGTTTGTCGACAATACTACAGACTGATATCATTAGAACGTTTGTCGACAATACTACAGACTGATATCAATAGAACGTTTGTGGACAATACTACAGACTGATATCAATAGAACGTTTGTCGACAATACTACAGACTGATATCAATAGAACGTTTGTCGACAATACTACAGACTGATATCAATAGAACGTTTGTCCACAATACTACAGACTGATATCAATAGAACGTTTGTCCACAATACTACAGACTGATATCAATAGAACGTTTGTCGACAATACTACAGACTGATATCAATAGAACGTTTGTCGACAATACTACAGACTGATATCAATAGAACGTTTGTCGACAATACTACAACTGTGGAAAGATAAAGAGTCATGCCAATATTGCTTGATGCCTGTTTGGAAAATCTCACCAACCACTTGCTTCACGGTACCGAGGGGAAATCTCTTGTTGATTTGATCTAAACATATTTTATTATCGGTGGCAGATAAATGGATCAGAGACAAGTTCTAGCAACTTATGAACTCTAAAAATATTATACACTGCACGTGATATATATCTATACTATAAACATGAAAATGTTTAATTCGTAGCCTGTGAGGTACAATTGTAAACTTAAATAATTTTGTCTAATATAATATAGTCTAATATAATATATATATAATATAGACGTAACTTTTAATAATATCAATCTTTCCTGTAGCGTGCTGCGCATGCGCCAGCCTGAGTCGATTTTTCTAGTCGATTGTTACTATAGATTATATAGAGAGAAAATCTTTAAACTTGAATAAAGCATTTTTTCGTTCAAATGACAGTATTTTTCTCGTATACATTTGGATGCTAATATTATAAGCTTTAATATGATATTTGAAAATTAAAAATAAGTTGTGAGGAATCGGTGCCTTGGTTTAGTTAAAGTTCAGAAGTTTATTTACTAAATAAAGAAGGATTTCCACTAGAAATTCGCTATATCACCGACTTCAAAGTTAGATAAAAAATATTTCCCAAACTTCGTGGATATTTTTCCCGTATAGGTTAGTTTCTAAATTTATCCAGGATTCCGACACTATGATTTTTTTAAAAATAAGTGTTTAGGAATTGGTGCCTTTTTTAAGATATATGTACATAGGTGTAGATTCAGAAGCATCATTTTACGCTGGTGTGACGTCATGGGACCAGAGTTATCGGGTCCCTGGACATACTCCAGTGTAAGTATGGCGTAATTTCAATGATTTATATTTGATAATTAGAATTTTATACTAGTTAATTTGTTTAGTTTGTTTTACTTCAGCACTTTGACAGTGTATATCCATTTTTAAAAACACTGTCTTAAAAACATACATTAAAATAAATATGTACGCGGAACAGGTCCAAGTTAAAACTAAGATATTAATCACAATTTTCCATAATTAATGAATATAATGTGTACATAAAATTTATAAATATTATTGTATCACTGTAATATCAATCAGTATGAACTGGACACGGATGAGATTTATATAGACATTGCCTGTTATCTCATACTTTTGTGTAAGAACATCAAACAATATAACGGTACAAGTATCTAAAAATTCTACTGTTACAAAGCACATAACCTTACCTTATATAAACAACTATAGGGATAGACGGCAACCTACCATTTTTCAAAAAAAAAAAAAAAAAATAGTAATAATTAAAAAAAATAAAAGTTTCGATTCTCTCATGAGCAATTTTTCTCCTTAACTTTCTTTTGAAAGTTCATAACTATGGTTTTTCTAACTTTTTTTTCTTTTCTTTTTTTTTAATTATAAGATTGTGAAAACAATCTAAACAACTGAGAAGACTTACCAACACACTGAATTGTGTGGCTGTGGTGTATGTATACGTAATTAGGATGTGACAATTATCGCCTTAAAAATAATCATCACAGTTATTGTTTTCAATGGTATGGCTTTACCACCTGTTGTATGTTGTTTTACTTGACACTACTCACTCAAAACTGTCAAGCGGATATATTAGGGGTATATCGTGGATCTATAAGCATGGCTCATCATCTTCGACCACGTGTTCCAAAGAACTGAAAAATTGTCAATGAAGGGGAAAATGTTGAATTTGTAGACCATCATAAACACCTGGGAGTAATATTAAATGAAAACTGTAAATGGACTAAACACATTGAAAATGTATGTACTAATGTTTCTAAACAGTTAAATGTTCTTCATGAGCTTAAATATATACTTAATAGACAAACTTTAAATAAGATTTACAAAGCTTTTATTCTACCATTGTCTGGGTATAGCTGTGAAGTTTATTTTGAGAGTGGGCTAGAACTATTGTCTGAAAGACGAACTCGAAGGAAGTTACAGTTATTTTACAAAATTACTAACAATCTAACACCAAGTTACATGTCTTCCTTACAACCGCCGTTAGTTTCCGAAAATTCATCTTACAATCTTCATAATGCACATAATTTTTCGTTTCCAAATTTTCGACTACAATTAACTCATCTTTCTTCCCCTCCACTATTAGGCTCTGGAATCAGCTCGATTTAGAAATAAGGCAAAGTATATCATACCAATCTTTTAAAAATCCCTTAAACGCAACATAACTGTTCCAGACTTCTATTTTTTCGGCGATAGAAAAAAATATACTCCACGTCAGACTACGAAATCATGCCAGCACTCTAAACAATGACCTCTATAGAGCTAATTTAATAAATTATCGACACTGTGGACACCCTATTTTTGGGGTATATTCTCAAGTGTTACAACTATAAAATATCGATACAGTCAGTTTGTGTAACTCTTTCTCCATAACTCTAAGTTCCAAGAGCTTTTAGCGCCAACACTCTGATCTATGCGAAAATGTCAGGATTCTTTTTTGTATATGCCTTCAAATACGTGTGTACTGCGAAAAAAAGTTCATGCTACATCCGGATTTATCGTACCGATTTCCTTTCCAAATTTTCATGATAACCATGTCTTGGTCACTACAACGTTTGATGAATTCAATGGCGAATTTGCTTAAAGTCTGCGTTACTTTGCTCTATGTTATTGCCCTGGTAATGTATTATGACTTTTTCAATGACGACGTTTTAGTGTTAAGTTACCAAAGTTAAATTGATTATACACAGGTACAGTGATAACAACCCATTACGACAGAAATACGTCAAGACGCTGTTCAGCTTCCGTGTTTCCTACTTTCTTTTTCAGACATCTCTTGTTTATGACGTGGTTTAATTAATTGATATAAGCTGACTTTGATTCCGCGATTGAAAGTTGACTATTTATATCTAAATTCATTAAAATGATAACACAGAAATCTGACTTTCTGTCAGTTTGGACTTTATATAAATCAATATGAAATATCCCTTATAGTTACACCAACAAACAGTTTTAAAATATAAGCTGTACTTTGTCTTTCTGTAACGAGCCAAAATGCAGCATTATAATTTAAGACACTGACCTTTTACGTTATTTATCGTGCAACAATACTTGAAAATCAGACCACGAAAACTTCAGTAGTTTTACTGTTCAATCTTTGTTTAACTGACGTTGATGCTACACTGAATTTTGCTTCATGACATGTAAATCTAAAAAATTGCTCAGTGCAGGAACATAGCTAAAACTTAAACAAATGTGAAAGCTACTTTAGGAATTTTCATAAATAACTATGTTCGTAACAACTTATTTCAACAGTAATTTTTATAAAGCATAATTATCTAGTAATTGCAGAAAGTAATTCTGTTGAATTACTTCACATGCTAAAATACCACAGTTTTCCATCTCTAAAACAGCTAAAATGTATGTGATTGGTGTATTCTAACAATGAATATATTTGGCATTCATTCTTTTGTACATGTTTATATTTGTATGTATTGTTTTTAACAGTATTTTTATGTCTTCCCAGTATGTTGACCTTGTAAACTAAGATAACATGCAAGTATTAGCTACATCGTTTCTGGAGAAAGCACAGGTCTCCTTTTATTCTATAGAAAAGGGAAAATAATGTATCTATCAAAGATTTTGTATTAACTACCGTGTTTTCTGGATACTGTTTGTCTCTGTGATGCTGTTTATCTTACTGCTCACAAAGATTTTAAAATGTTCATATTTTTAAACAAAGTTTAAGTTTTGACTAACAGAAAATTAAAGACACATTTTCAAATTAATATTTATATGACAGGTTTATATATGTTTCTAAATTAAAATTGTTTTAAACAACTAAGAAAAAATCAATATTTACTTAATTGTAATTTGTACTTTAAAGCACTCTTAAAACTTTATTCGATGAAGTAGTAAAAAAAATCACACTTCAGAATGAGCAATGATACCTGAGATACACGACTTTCCTGAAATGGCCGCTGATGTCATAAACACATAGATAATACTTTGTTAAATTTTAAAAATGTTCTTTATGAACAAATTAGGATTGTCAGAGGGCTTGGTGAATTATGTGATCGATCATACAAAGACCTGTTGGCCTGATTTATTATCAAAGGAGCACAAGAGTTTAGTTGAGTAATTCTGTATAAAGGTGTCTAGATTTTGAGTAATTCAGTATAAGGGTGTCTATGTGTTTAGTTAGGTAATTCAGTATGTAGGTGCCTAGATGTTTAGTTGAGTAATTCAGTATGAGGGTACCTAGATGTTTAGTTGAGTAATTCAGTATGAAGGTGTCTATGTGTTTAGTTGAGTAATTCAGTATGAAGGTGTCTATGTGTTTAGTTGAGTAATTCAGTATGAAGGTGTCTATGTGTTTAGTTGAGTAATTCAGTATGAAGGTACCTAGATGTTTAGTTGAGTAATTCAGTATGAGGGTACCTAGATGTTTAGTTGAGTAATTCAGTATGAGGGTACCTAGATGTTTATTTGAGTAATTCAGTATGGGGGTGTCTATGTGTTTAGTTGAGTAATTCAGTATAAGGGTACCTAGATGTTTAGTTGAGTAATTCAGTATGAGGGTACCTAGATGTTTAGTTGAGTAATTCAGTATGAGGGTACCTAGATGTTTAGTTGAGTAATTCAGTATGAGGGCACCTAGATGTTTAGTTGAGTAATCCAGATTGAGTAATTCAGTACCTAGATGTTTAGTTGAGTAATTCAGTATGAGGGCACCTAGATGTTTAGTTGAGTAATCCAGTTTGAGGGTACCTAGATGTTTAGTTGAGTAATCCAGTATGAGGGCACCTAGATGTTTAGTTGAGTAATTCAGTATGAGGGTACCTAGATGTTTAGTTGAGTAATTCAGTATGAGGGTACTAGATGTTTAGTTGAGTAATTCAGTATGAGGGTACCTAGATGTTTAGTTGAGTAATTCAGTATGAGGGCACCTAGATGTTTAGTTGAGTAATTCAGTATGAGGGTACCTAGATGTTTAGTTGAGTAATTCAGTATGAGGGTACCTAGATGTTTAGTTGAGTAATTCAGTATGAGGGTACCTAGATGTTTAGTTGAGTAATTCAGTATGAGGGTACCTAGATGTTTAGTTGAGTAATTCAGTATGAGGGTACCTAGATGTTTAGTTGAGTAATTCAGTATGAGGGTACCTAGATGTTTAGTTGAGTAATTCTAGATGTTTAGTTGAGTAATTCAGTATGAGGGTACCTAGATGTTTAGTTGAGTAATTCAGTATGAGGGCACCTAGATGTTTAGTTGAGTAATTCAGTATGAGGGCACCTAGATGTTTAGTTGAGTAATTCAGTATGAGGGCACCTAGATGTTTAGTTGAGTAATTCAGTATGAGGGCACCTAGATGTTTAGTTGAGTAATTCAGTATGAGGGTACCTAGATGTTTAGTTGAGTAATTCAGTATGAGGGTACCTAGATGTAAATTGCTATGTTGTACTGAGAGGGATTATATCCTCTATTGCTAAGAGTGATGATGAATGATGTTATTTTGAATGATTATGATTACCCTGAATACTGAAGGTCAAAAGTCAAGATTAGTGTTGTATTTCTCAACAAACCACAATAATTTTATCTAAACTTTGATTGTGGCAAGTGCTTGACTACAGAAAAGGACAATTAATGAGGGATTCTGTGCAGTATATATTTTACTCTTTGAAGACATTACCACTCAGTGATGGAATATTATGCTTCAACGTTCATATTAATAGATCCTGATTATAATAATGACACATTCAGGGAATACTATTTCTGCTTGTCCACAGAGCTCTGCTGATCTTGGAGTCGTGTATGTGAGACCATCTGGCTCTGGAGAAGAATGGCAGGGTCACTACTGTATCAACTACAACCCACAATTCCAGAAGTTACCTCACTATATGCATCAAGCGGTAATTGTATAAAACCTAAATCCCTCACCCATAGCTATATAAACACCGATAGTTATATAAACACCCATAGTTATATAACCATGTCACTCTAATGATTATTTGATGAGGAATGCATTGTTATATAGTACCATGTCAATAATTTTGTTTTCCTCCAACATTTTGTTGAAGGTGTTGCTACCTCAACAATTCTCCTTTGTGTGAACAAATGAACAGCAAAGTAATTTTCTGTTAGGCAGTACAATACATATCTATACCAGAAACGGATCGAGTTGATTAGCAGGGATCAGGTAGTTTAATTGGTAAAGTCTAGAGTTTGGATAATCCCGGGCTTGAACCCTGTTTTGCCCATTCTTTTTTCTGCTCATATTACATTTAGTTCCTTTGACCATCCTTCATTTCATATAGGCAAATGTTTGACAAAGGGATAGTCAGACTTGGATTATAAATAGTTGTATCTTTGGGGGCAAAGACTTGGAAAAAGGAAGGAATAATGTAACGGAACTGGACTTGGAATATCAATGGTGACCAGGTAGCTAAGTCGGTTAAGTCTATAGTCTGGGCAGTTGGCATCTTATAAATGTTGAAGACAAAGAATGAAAAGATCATAAAGCAAAGTGTAACAGGAATGAGTTGAATGATAAAAACATGTTAGAAATAGTCACTGTCACACAGCAGACTGAGTCTGTTTCTTATCTCAGTAGAGACATGATGGTTAATGCAATATTTCAGACCCCACACAGCCTAGTTGATCTCAGTACTGACTATGACTGTTTCTTATCTCAGTAGAGACATGATGGTTAATGAAATATTTCAGACCCCACACAGCCTAGTTGATCTCAGTACTGACTATGGCTGTTTCTTATCTCAGTAGAGACATGATGGTTAATGAAATATTTCAGACCCCACACAGCCTAGTTGATCTCAGTACTGACTATGGCTGTTTCTTATCTCAGTAGAGACATGATGGTTAATGAAATATTTCAGACCTCACACAGCCTAGTTGATCTCAGTACTGACTATGACTGTTTCTTATCTCAGTAGAGACATGATGGTTAATGAAATATTTCAGACCCCACACAGCCTAGTTGATCTCAGTACTGACTATGGCTGTTTCTTATCTCAGTAGAGACATGATGGTTAATGAAATATTTCAGACCCCACACAGCCTAGTTGATCTCAGTACTGACTATGGCTGTTTCTTATTTCAGTAGAGACATGATGGTTAATGAAATATTTCAGACCTCACACAGCCTAGTTGATCTCAGTACTGACTATGGCTGTTTCTTATCTCAGTAGAGACATGATGGTTAATGAAATATTTCAGACCCCACACAGCCTAGTTGATCTCAGTACTGACTATGGCTGTTTCTTATCTCAGTAGAGACATGATGGTTAATGAAATATTTCAGACCCCACACAGCCTAGTTGATCTCAGTACTGACTATGGCTGTTTCTTATCTCAGTAGAGACATGATGGTTAATGAAATATTTCAGACCCCACACAGCCTAGTTGATCTCAGTACTGACTATGGCTGTTTCTTATCTCAGTAGAGACATGATGGTTAATGAAATATTTCAGACCCCACACAGCCTAGTTGATATCAGTACTGACTATGGCTGTTTCTTATCTCAGTAGAGACATGATGGTTAATGAAATATTTCAGACCCCACACAGCCTAGTTGATCTCAGTACTGACTATGGCTGTTTCTTATCTCAGTAGAGACATGATGGTTAATGAAATATTTCAGACCTCACACAGCCTAGTTGATCTCAGTACTGACTATGGCTGTTTCTTATCTCAGTAGAGACATGATGGTTAATGAAATATTTCAGACCCCACACAGCCTAGTTGATCTCAGTACTGACTATGGCTGTTTCTTATCTCAGTAGAGACATGATGGTTAATGAAATATTTCAGACCCCACACAGCCTAGTTGATCTCAGTACTGACTATGGCTGTTTCTTATCTCAGTAGAGACATGATGGTTAATAAATATTTCAGACCCCACACAGCCTATCTCAGTACTGACTATGGCTGTTTCTTATCATAGCTATATAGAGACATGATGGTTAATGAAATATTTCAGACCCCACACAGCCTAGTTGATCTCAGTACTGACTATGGCTGTTTCTTATCTCAGTAGAGACATGATGGTTAATGAAATATTTCAGACCCCACACAGCCTAGTTGATCTCAGTACTGACTATGGCTGTTTCTTATCTCAGTAGAGACATGATGGTTAATGAAATATTTCAGACCCCACACAGCCTAGTTGATATCAGTACTGACTATGGCTGTTTCTTATCTCAGTAGAGACATGATGGTTAATGAAATATTTCAGACCCCACACAGCCTAGTTGATATCAGTACTGACTGAGTCTGTTTCTTATCTCAGTAGAGACATGATGGTTAATGAAATATTTCAGACCCCACACAGCCTAGTTGATCTCAGTACTGACTTGGGCTGTTTCTTATCTCAGTAGAGACATGATGGTTAATGAAATATTTCAGACCCCACACAGCCTAGTTGATCTCAGTACTGACTATGGCTGTTTCTTATCTCAGTAGAGACATGATGGTTAATGAAATATTTCAGACCCCACACAGCCTAGTTGATATCAGTACTGACTATGTCTGTTTCTTATCTCAGTAGAGACATGATGGTTAATGAAATATTTCAGACCCCACACAGCCTAGTTGATCTCAGTACTGACTATGGCTGTTTCTTATCTCAGTAGACATGATGGTTAATGAAATATTTCAGACCCCACACAGCCTAGTTGATCTCAGTACTGACTATGGCTGTTTCTTATCTCAGTAGAGACATGATGGTTAATGAAATATTTCAGACCCCACACAGCCTAGTTGATCTCAGTACTGACTATGGCTGTTTCTTATCTCAGTAGAGACATGATGGTTAATGAAATATTTCAGACCCCACACAGCCTAGTTGATCTCAGTACTGACTATGGCTGTTTCTTATCTCAGTAGAGACATGATGGTTAATGAAATATTTCAGACCCCACACAGCCTAGTTGATCTCAGTACTGACTATGGCTGTTTCTTATATCAGTAGAGACATGATGGTTAATGAAATATTTCAGACCCCACACAGCCTAGTTGATCTCAGTACTGACTATGGCTGTTTCTTATCTCAGTAGAGACATGATGGTTAATGAAATATTTCAGACCCCACACAGCCTAGTTGATCTCAGTACTGACTATGGCTGTTTCTTATCTCAGTAGAGACATGATGGTTAATGAAATATTTCATAAAGCACACAGCCTGTTGATCTCAGTACTGACTATGGCTGTTTCTTATCTCAGTAGAGACATGATGGTTAATGAAATATTTCAGACCCCACACAGCCTAGTTGATATCAGTACTGACTGAGTCTGTTTCTTATCTCAGTAGAGACATGATGGTTAATGCAATATTTCAGACCCCACACAGCCTAGTTGATCTCAGTACTGACTTGGGCTGTTTAGACAGTCAGGCATACAACAACATTGATGTTGATGACCGCGTGGTCGCCGTTGGTCGAGGCAACTGTAAATTTGCTGAAAAAGCTGTTATGGCTCAACAACACAAGTCTTTGGCCGTTTGGATTGTAACAAAAGATGTGGTAAGTATTTCTTATTTCTGTATTACTATACTGCTATATCTTCCTCTATTGACTTATAATGTAGACAGTTACTACCTTAGGTGATTTATAAAGTAGCATATGCAGGGCTCTCGATCTGCCAGATTTGGGGCCAAATTCCCAATGCAAAATTGTATCTTTTTTCCCCAATTTAGACCCGAAGTTTTCCCAATTCTACAAATCATATATACACATACATACACATCATCTTGTGTGGTTTTTATTTCATCATTTGAAGAAATTTGTGTTTTGCAACAGCAGATATGACATGTAAGCATCTCTACAATGTGTTTAGGTATCATATTATGGTCAAGCTGTTTATTTATATACAAGTTATATGTTATTTCCAGATGTTTGTGATATCTGTGTATCTGGGATTCTGTAAATGTTTGTTAAATATTTATGTTAAGCTGTACATGTATGTTTCATTGCAGCTTGTTCCTATTGCCAATAAGACAGAATACAGCATGATCAATATCACAGTAGCAGGTATACAGACGAAGGACTTCACACAAATACAGGTATCTCTATAGAATTATTTAACTTATAACAGGAATGTTATGTAATATTAGTTTTCCTATTCTAGACATAACATGTTCCATACCCTAAAGTAGGTATAGCTTTACATTCTTCCTATTTACACACATATATCACGTCAATTTCTTCATTTTTGTCTTCTAGAAAAACAACCCATCTTACAGTTTCCGGTTAATGTTTCATATCTTTCAGTTATGTGGGTAATATTTTTAACTATTACCAGTACAGTGGTGAATATGTTGAAGAATATTTCAGTTATGTTGGTTATATTTTTAACTATTACCAGTACAGTGGTGAATATGTTGAAGAATATTTCAGTTATGTAGGTAATATTTTTAACTATTACCAGTACAGTGGTGAATATGTTGAAGAATATTTCAGTTATGTTGGTAATATTTCTCACTTTTACCAGTACAGTGGTGAATATGTTGAAGTGTATTTCCTATTTAAATGTTGACTATAACAGTAGCCATTTACCTTGTTATTTTGCCAAGGAAACATTAAATTTATTGTTCTCGGAATTTGTTTGTTAAATGAAGATAGATAAACATTTACAACAAGTTAGATATTACCATGACTTATGCCTGTTTTAGAACAAGTGTGAAACCAACTTCTGTTGTTCCATAAGGAAGTGCACAGAATGTGGTAATGTTGGAGAAAGACTGGAATACCCAGAGAAAATCCTCACCATATATTGAACTAATTTAGTTCAACTGCATATAATATTTATATTTCCAGAGTATAGGGTCAAAGGTTGAGGTTTTGATGTTTTCGCCTGGACTAAGGGACGAGTTTGACCCCTGTCTCATTGTCCTGTTTGTGATAGCCGTTGGATGTGTCACAGTTGGTGGATATTGGTCTGGCCTAAGGCGACATGAAAGGTAGTAGAACATGGTTAGGGGACGGATTACTAAGTCATTAGAACTCCAGTCATTTTAAAAGACACATAAAATATGAATATATGGAATTTTGTTACAATGTTTGTCAATCATAGGTCAGTATGGAGGATTTGTATGCCCATTTAACACCTTTTTAAAACTGTTCGTGCCTGTCCTTTCTGTGTTTTATTTTTCTATTTTTTGATGTTCTTAACACCCATCCTGGTATGATTCTGACGAGGTTGTTAAACCCAATAGAAATATATTAATAAACCAGTCTTGAAACAAATAAAATATTAATAAAAAAGGTAATGCAGCATTGTTCCAATTAAAAAACAACATGAAAGAAAGAAGACCAGTTTACATTAAAAAGGAATTCTGAAAAAGTCTAAGATGGTTACCATGGTTATCAACTTGAACTTGACATAAATTGAAGTTCTGTAATCTAGCTGTTCATAAATTTGAAGTAAAATACAAATCTAAGTCTTTATCTGTGTAAAATGGGAATGATTGCTTAGATGTTTGTGGGAATCAGAAAAAAAGATGTATTTATAGGTCAGTATAACAAAATTGCATGTTTATCAATCACGCTTAACATTCTTACAGATCGGAAAAATCACAAAAATCAAAGAAAAGAAAGAGAAAATCCAAAAAAGGCAGGAAAGATGATGACGATGATGATGAGGACACTGAAGAGGAAAATGACACGGTTGACTTAACGCTGCCTTCGATCATCTTCTTTGTCATCATGTCTTCAACATTCCTGGTGCTTCTTTTCTTCTTCTATGATTATCTAGGTAAATCTAATGCCAAGTTATGTTTGTATGCTTCCCCAAGGGACAGCATATAATCTCTGCTTTGTTTGTTCGTCCGTCTGTTCGTCCATTTGTCTGGCCATCCTAATTTTGTTCAGAGCATAACACAACATATCAACATGAAATTTAATAGGTACCATATAGGTGCATATAATGCCCACTTTTTCAAGCTAAAACTGTCGTGTCAAAAAGGGGGTGTGCACTATATGCAAAAACATGCCATTCTTGGGGTTATTATTCCCGAGTTCTGGGTCTGCCATATTGGATTACTTCCCTTCACATAGTTATATGTAAGAGTTGTCGGACATATATGATAGTTTGGAGATAAAAACTACAAAAAAATAAAATGAATTTCTAATGATTTTATCATCGGCATTACGGTTAAGGTTAAAAAAAAATCCACTCAAATATTTTCGCAAGCAAAAATGCATTGATTTTCTATAAAACAGCCAATTAATTACTGGTAACTGCATTCACCATTTAATATTTTTATTGGACTGCACTGACCTTCTGTCTACTTGAGAATGTTTTTATTGTAACATTACATGTCTAAAAACCCTTTTTGAAACTTTTCTACATTACCTGAAAGATGTTGGTCTATATAATAGACCACGACGTAGCATTTCAAACTTTTGCATTAACATACCCATTTAAGATATTTAACATTTGTCTTTTACCTTTTGGTTTGTTTAATGTTATTTCCGTTTGGATTGCTGTGTGTTTTACTGGTTGATGACCCTAATGACCTTTCATGTGTTGACGGGCCGTTAAGTATGTCATAATGATAATAATAATTCAAAATCCGATCCCATATTAACTGATAACTGATTTAAGATTTTAAATGATTTCCCAATACTATGTTTCAGTGTATGTTGTGATTGTACTCTTCTGTCTGGCGGGAACAGCTGGACTCTATGGTTGTGTACAACCACTTTGGAGCTACATTCCATTCAATACCAGGTAATTATCATAAAATATCATTCCCTTCAGAAATCAAGCATTTAATATGCAATAAATTAAGGAAGTTCTTTTCTCTGTTTTTTTCCCTTTGACTCCCTCCATATTTGAAATGATTTTAGGAAATATGATTTTAACTTAAAAACAAAATTTCCAATAAAAATAAGTAATCATCAAATTAAGATGGTGTTTTTATTGTTTTATTTCAGACTTCCAGCAAATAAAGTTCCTTGTTTTTCTGATCGTCCTCAAGTAAAGAATCTTGTGTTGGTTCTATTATGTGCTGGAGTGACAACCTTTTGGGGTATACAGAGACACGAGAGGTACTTTATGTTTTATGTGTACATCATTGTTACTGTTGTGTCCTATTGAATTCTGAAATGCAGACCAGGAAGAAATATTTCAGATGTGACATAAAAAACTGAGTTACCTTTTCTTATCAAACATGATGATAATTTTGATAATTCACAATTTTTCCATTGCTTTGGTAAAATATTAACATAACGATAATAAGTAAATAGGAAGACAGTGATAAATAAATAGGAAGACAGTGATAAATAAATAGGAAGACAATGATAAATAAATAGGAAGACAATGATAAATAGGAAGACAATGATAAATAAGTAGGAAGACAATGATCAATAAATAGGAAGACAATGATAAATAAATAGGAAGACAATGATAAATAAATAGGAAGACAATGATAAATAAATAGGAAGACAATGATAAATAAATAGGAAGACAATGATAAATAGGAAGACAATGATAAATAGGAAGACAATGATAAATAAATAGGAAGACAATGATAAATAAATAGGAAGACAATGATAAATAAAGACAATGATAAATAAATAGGAAGACAATGATAAATAAATAGGAAGACAATGATAAATAGGAAGACAATGATAAATAAATAGGAAGACAATGATAAATAAATAGGAAGACAATGATAAATAAATAGGAAGACAATGATAAATAAATAGGAAGACAATGATAAATAAATAGGAAGACAATGATAAATAAATAGGAAGACAATGATAAATAAATAGGAAGACAATGATAAATAAATAGGAAGACAATGATAAATAAATAGGAAGACAATGTTAAATAAATAGGAAGAGAATGATAAATAGGAAGACAATAATAAATAAATAGGAAGACAATGATAAATAAATAGGAAGACAATGATAAATAAATAGGAAGACAATGATAAATAAATAGGAAGACAATGATAAATAGGAAGACAACGATAAATAAATAGGAAGACAATGATAAATAAATAGGAAGACAATGATAAATAGGAAGACAATGATAAATAAATAGGAAGACAATGATAAATAGATAGGAAGACAATGATAAATAAATAGAAAGACAATGATAAATAAATAGGAAGACAATGATTAATAGATAGGAAGACAATGATAAATAGATAGGAAGACAATGATAAATAGATAGGAAGACAATGATATATGTATTATTTATTGTTTTAGGTCCTGTTGCTTTCATTCTATCATTCTGGTTTGTCTCTTAAGTTTCAAGACAATCATTGTTTAGACTTTTGCAGTAGCTGGTTGATGAGTATCTAATGTTTTATTTTTCATTCTTCAGTTACGCATGGGTGATACAGGATTTCCTTGGTGTGGCATTTTGTATCAATATTTTACGAATTATCCAGATGCCTAATCTCAAGGTACAGAGTAGCAACATTTTTTTCTTTAATGAAAAAAGAACCCCCAAAAAACAAAATCGTTGATGTCCAAAATGTCAGATAGAACATATTCATGTTATAAAATTAATCATATTACCTGGTATGTCCCAAGAACCCAATTCATTTACATTTAAATAATGTCCTACAAAATAATTTGGATACAGTTGCTGTACTGAAGAACTAATTCATATACACTTAATGTCCCAAAATCTATTTCATATACAGATAATTTCTAACAGAACTAATTTCTATACTGTTAATGTCTTTAACAGTAGATGTTGACATAGTTGATGTCCAAGATAGCTGGTTTGTTAAACACTACTTCTAAAACAAAGACATCTTTGTCTGAGCCTTTCTAGTATTTCTCTGTGATGATTTACTTGAATTGTGTTATTGACAGATCTGTGGCGCCCTCCTGCTGGCTTTGTTTGTGTATGATATATTCTTTGTCTTCGTCACACCACTAATCACTTCGGTAAGTTTTCCATCTCAGGTTTAAATTTGTGCTGTATTTTTTATTTTTCCATGGATGATGTTCCACCATGATTTTCTCTTTGTATAACTAGATATATCATTGTGCTTCATTTCACACATACTAAACTTCTGCAGTGCTTTAGAAGAAGATTTTTCACAAAATTATATGAACCATGTAATCAGTGTAATAACACCCTAAGCAGATTTTTGTAATGACACACATAAGACATGACCTAGCAGAACTGTGATTAGGTGAATGGTGCCTTGGTTTCCTTTAACTATGTAGTTTTGTGATGTCACCAGTGAAAGCAAAAAAAAACAAAGCACTTGTGTCCGTCTCATCAAATAGTGTTATCTTACATTTACTACCATTTTATTAGTGATTAATTTATTCAATTTTACCTCATCAGATGAAAAATTCTTATTTCCATGGAAATTCCTGTACATTCCATCTATTGACCGTGTATCTTAGATGACATAACTGAATTGATGGTCTAATTTTCAGTCTGGGAAAAGTATCATGGTGGATGTAGCAACTGGTGGCTCCAGTACAACAGGAGAACAGGTAGGTTGTGTACAGTTGTAAGAGGAGGTTAAGGGGTTATGTTACCTTAGTGTTGTAGTACAACAGGGAACAGGTAGGTTGTATACAGTTGTAAGGGGAGGTAAAGGGGATATGTTACCTTAGTGTTGTAGTACAACAGAGAACAGGTAGGTTGTATACAGTTGTAAGGGGAGGTTAAGGGGGTATGTTACCTTAGTGTTGTAGTACAACAGGAGAGCAGGTAGGTTGTATACAATTGTAAGGGGAGGTTAAGGGGGTATGTTACCTTAGTGTTGTAGTACAACAGAGAACAGGTAGGTTGTATACAGTTGTAAGGGGAGGTTAAGGGGGTATGTTACCTAAGTGTTGTAGTACAACAGAGAACAGGTAGGTTGTATACAGTTGTAAGGGGAGGTTAAGGGGGTATGTTACCTTAGTGTTGTAGTACAACAGAGAACAGGTAGGTTGTATACAGTTGTAAGGGGAGGTTAAGGGGGTATGTTACCTTAGTGTCATAGTACAACAGAGAACAGGTAGGTTGTATACAGTTGTAAGGGGAGGTTAAGGGGGTATGTTACCTTAGTGTTGTAGTACAACAGGAGAGCAGGTAGGTTGTATACAGTTGTAAGGGGAGGTTAAGGGGGTATGTTACCTTAGTGTTGTAGTACAACAGGAGAACAGGTAGGTTGGAATACAGTTGCAAGGGGAGGTTAAGGGGGTATGTTACCTTAGTGTTGTAGTACAACAGGAGAACAGGTAGGTTGTATACAATTGTAAGGGGAGGTTAAGGGGGTATGTTACCTTAGTGTCATAGTACAACAGAGAACAGGTAGGTTGTATACAGTTGTAAGGGGAGGTTAAGGGGGTATGTTACCTTAGTGTTGTAGTACAACAGGAGAGCAGGTAGGTTGTATACAGTTGTAAGGGGAGGTTAAGGGGGTATGTTACCTTAGTGTTGTAGTACAACAGGAATTATAGAATCAGATAGTGTATTATAGATATCAGTGTATTGTCATTATAGATGTCAGTGTATTATAAATGTCAGTGTATTATAGATATCAGTTCAGTGTATTATAGATATCAGTGTATTATAGATATCAGTGTATTATAGATATCAGTGTATTATAGATATCAGTGTATTATAGATGTCAGTGTATTATAGATATCAGTGTATTATAGATGTCAGTGTATTATAGATATCAGTGTATTATAGATGTCAGTGTATTATAGTATTATAGATATCAGTGTATTATAGATGTCAGTGTATTATAGATGTCAGTGTATTATAGATATCAGTGTATTATAGATGTCAGTGTATTATAGATATCAGTTCAGTGTATTATAGATATCAGTGTATTATAGATCTCAGTGTAGTATAGATGTCAGTGTATTATAGATGTCAGTGTATTATAGATATCAGTGTATTATAGATGTCAGTGTATTATAGATGTCAGTGTATTATAGATACCAGTGTATTATAGATGTCAGTGTATTATAGATGTCAGTGTATTATAGATATCAGTGTATTATAGATGTCAGTGTATTATAGATGTCAGTGTATTATAGATATCAGTGTATTATAGACACCAGTGTATTATAGATGTCAGTTTTATAGATATCAGTGTATTATAGATATCAGTTCAGTGTATTATAGATATCAGTGTATTATAGATGTCGGTGTATTATAGATATCAGTGTATTATAGATGTCAGTGTATTATAGATATCAGTGTATTATAGATATCAGTGTATTATAGATATCAGTGTATTATAGATATCAGTGTATTATAGATATCAGTGTATTATAGATATCAGTGTATTATAGATGTCAGTGTATTATAGATGTCAGTGTATTATAGATATCAGTGTATTATAGATATCAGTTCAGTGTATTATAGATTATCAGTGTATTATAGATGTCAGTGTCAGTGTATTATAGATATCAGTGTATTATAGATATCAGTGTATTATAGATATCAGTGTATTATAGATGTCAGTGTATTATAGATGTCAGTGTAGTGTATTATAGATATCAGTGTATTATAGATATCAGTGTATTATAGATATCAGTGTATTATAGATATCAGTGTATTATAGATATCAGTGTATTATAGATATGTAGATGTCTTATAGATATCAGTGTATTATAGATGTCAGTGTATTATAGATATCAGTGTATTATAGATGTTAGTGTATTATAGATATCAGTGTATTATAGATGTCAGTGTAGTATAGATGTCAGTGTATCATAGATGTCAGTGTAGTATAGATATCAGTGTATTATAGATGTCGGTGTATTATAGATGTCGGTGTATTATAGATATCAGTGTATTATAGATGTCGGTGTATTATAGATATCAGTGTATTATAGATGTCAGTGTATTATAAATGTCAGTGTATTATAGATGTCAGTGTATTATAGATATCAGTGTATTATAGATGTCAGTGTATTATAGATGTCAGTGTATTATAGATGTCGGTGTATTATAGATGTCGGTGTATTATAGATGTCAGTGTATTATAGATATCAGTGTATTATAGATATCAGTGTATCATAGATATCAGTGTATCATAGATATCAGTGTATTATAGATATCAGTGTATTATAGATATCAGTGTATTATAGATGTCGGTGTATTATAGATATCAGTGTATTATAGATGTCGGTGTATTATAGATATCAGTGTATTATAGATGTCAGTGTATTATAGATATCAGTTCAGTGTATTATAGATATCAGTGTATTATAGATATATAGATATCAGTGTATTATAGATTATAGATCAGTGTATTATAGATAGTCAGTGTATTATAGATATCAGTGTATTATAGATGTCAGTGTATTATAGATATCAGTGTATTATAGATGTCAGTGTATTATAGATATCAGTGTATTATAGATGTCAGTGTATTATAGATATCAGTGTATTATAGATATCAGTGTATTATAGATGTCAGTGTATTATAGATATCAGTGTATTATAGATGTCAGTGTATTATAGATATCAGTGTATTATAGATATCAGTGTATTATAGATGTCAGTCAGTGTATTATAGATAGATATCAGTGTATTATAGATATCAGTGTATTATAGATATCAGTGTATATTATAGATTATAGATCAGTGTATTATATAGATATCAGTGTATTATAGATGTCGGTGTATTATAGATGTCGGTGTATTATAGATATCAGTGTATTATAGATATCAGTGTATTATAGATGTCGGTGTATTATAGATATCAGTGTATTATAGATGTCGGTGTATTATAGATGTCAGTGTATTATAGATATCAGTGTATTATAGATGTTAGTGTATTATTGATATCAGTGTATTATAGATATCAGTGTATTATAGATGTCAGTGTATCATAGATATCAGTGTATTATAGATGTTAGTGTATTATAGATATCAGTGTATTATAGATGTCAGTGTATTATAGATATCAGTGTATTATAGATATCAGTATTGTATTATAGATATCAGTGTATTTATAGATATCAGTGTATTATAGATGATCAGTGTATTATAGATATCAGTGTATTATAGATATCAGTGTATTATAGATATCAGTGTATTATAGATATCAGTGTATTATAGATATCAGTGTATTATAGATATCAGTGTATTATAAATGTCAGTGTATTATAGACACCAGTGTATTATAGATATCAGTGTATTATAGATGTCAGTGTATGTCAGTGTATTATAGATGTATCAGTGTATTATAGATATCAGTGTATTATAGATGTCGGTGTATTATAGATATCAGTGTATTATAGATGTCAGTGTATTATAGATGTCAGTGTATTATAGATGTCAGTGTATTATAGATGTCAGTGTATTATAGATATCAGTGTATTATAGATATCAGTGTATTATAGATATCAGTGTATTATAGATATCAGTTCAGTGTATTATAGATGTCAGTGTATTATAGATATCAGTGTATTATAGATATCAGTTCAGTGTATTATAGATGTCGGTGTATTATAGATGTCAGTGTATTATAGATATCAGTGTATTATAGATGTCAGTGTATTATAGATGTCAGTGTATTATAGATATCAGTGTATTATAGATAGTATATAGATATCAGTGTATTATAGTCAGTTATATAGTATTATATAGATGTCAGATATAGATATCAGTGTATTATAGATATCAGTGTATTATAGATATCAGTGTATTATAGATATCAGTGTATTATAGATATCAGTGTATTATAGATATCAGTGTATTATAGATATCAGTGTATTATAGATATCAGTTTTATAGATATCAGTGTATTATAGATATCAGTGTATTATAGATATCAGTGTATTATAGATATCAGTGTATTATAGATGTCAGTGTAGTATAGATGTCAGTGTAGTATAGATGTCAGTGTATTATAGATATCAGTGTATTATAGATATCAGTGTATTATAGATGTCAGTGTATTATAGATGTCAGTGTATTATAGATATCAGTGTATTATAGATATCAGTGTATTATAGATATCAGTGTATTATAGATGTCAGTGTATTATAGATGTCAGTGTATTATAGATATCAGTGTATTATAGATATCAGTGTATTATAGATATCAGTGTATTATAGATATCAGTGTATTATAGATGTCAGTGTATTATAGATATCAGTGTATTGTATCAGTGTATTATAGAGTCAGTGTATTATAGATGTCAGTCATGTGTATTATAGTCATGTCAGTGTGTGTATTATAGATGTCAGTGTATTATAGATATATGTGTTGATTAATGTTGTATTATAGCGTTTTTATGATAGTGTATATAGATATCAGTATTTGAAAAAAAAATTGGTATGTTAAAGGGGAGCAAAACCACTGTGTGAAGGGTTTGTTTTTGGGTGGGTGGGGGTGTAAGGATTGATATCCAGAGGATATGCGGTATCATATGCTTGTGTTAAGTAATATTTGGTGGGTGGGTGGGGGTGTAAGGATTGATATCCAGAGGATATGCGGTATCATATGCTTGTGTTAAGTAATATTTGGTGGGTGTGTGGAATCAGGGGTGTAAGGAATGATATCCAGAGGATATGCGGTATCATATGCTTGTGTTAAGTAATATTTGGTGGGTGTGTGGGGTCAGGGGTGTAAGGAATGATATCCAGAGGATATGCGGTATCATATGCTTGTGTTAAGTAATATTTGGTGGGTGTGTGGGATCAGGGGTGTAAGGAATGATATCCAGAGGATATGCGGTATCATATGCTTGTGTTAAGTAATATTTGGTGGGTGGGTGGGGGTGTAAGGATTGATATCCAGAGGATATGCGGTGTCATATGCTTGTGTTAAGTAATATTTGGTGGGTGGGTGGGGGTGTAAGGATTGATATCCAGAGGATATGCGGTGTCATATGCTTGTGTTAAGTAATATATGGTGGTTGTGTGGGATCAGGGGTGTAAGGAATGATATCCAGAGGATATGCGGTATCATATGCTTGTGTTAAGTAATATTTGGTGGGTGGGTGGGGTGTAAGGATTGATATCCAGAGGATATGCGGTATCATATGCTTGTGTTATGTAATATTTGGTGGGTGGGTGGGGTGTAAGGATTGATATCCAGAGGATATGCGGTATCATATGCTTGTGTTAAGTAATATTTGGTGGGTGTGTGGGGTGTAAGGATTGATATCCAGAGGATATGCGGTATCATATGCTTGTGTTAAGTAATATTTGGTGGGTGTGTGGGGTCAGGGGTGTAAGGATTGATATCCAGAGGATATGCGGTATCATATGCTTGTGTTAAGTAATATTTGGTGGGTGGGTGGGGGTGTAAGGATTGATATCCAGAGGATATGCGGTATCATATGCTTGTGTTAAGTAATATTTGGTGGGTGGGTGGGTGGGTGGGGGTGTAAGGATTGATATCCAGAGGATATGCGGTATCATATGCTTGTGTTAAGTAATATTTGGTGGGTGGGTGGGGGTGTAAGGATTGATATCCAGAGGATATGCGGTGTCATATGCTTGTGTTAAGTAATATTTGGTGGGTGGGTGGATGGGGTGTAAGGATTGATATCCAGAGGATATGCGGTATCATATGCTTGTGTTAAGTAATATTTGGTGGGTGGATGGGGTCAGGGGTGTAAGGAATGATATCCAAAGGATATGCGGTGTCATATGCTTGTGTTAAGTAATATTTGGTGGGTGGGTGGGTGGGGTGTAAGGATTGATATCCAGAGGATATGCGGTATCATATGCTTGTGTTAAGTAATATTTGGTGGGTGTGTGGGATCAGGGGTGTAAGGAATGATATCCAGAGGATATGCGGTATCATATGCTTGTGTCTAGTAATATTATTGTAATGCTGTAAATCAATACTTTTCTCATTGAGCTCAAATTTTGTGGTTTTTCAAAAAAAATTTAACATTTTTCATTGGCACTTTTGTAAATATAACTTGCTAATAAAATCCATTTGTACCAGATTCCATGTCAACTTCGATCTTCTACATATTTTGTTCTGATATTAATTTGTGGATATGAAAAATAATGATTCTACAATGACACAGAATGGTAATATATCAACAAGTGTACAACATACTGTGAACAGCAGGTGTACTATACAACAGTAACCTATTAGGTCTGTTTACCAGTTGGAACAAATGAAGACTATAGGTGAGAGTTGTAAATACTGTTACACATCACCTTCATGATGACATGATTTATGAAGAACTGACAGCTGGTAACCTACAATATATATATAAGATGATAATATATTTCAGTGTTAGGGTTACCATGGTAACTAGATAACCATCAACACAGATGTATATTATTAATGTATTTACCGACTGTATAATGTCTCTGGTTGGAAATGATCATTGGTATGATACATTACCAGTAACTGTATTGATTTGTTTCTAGGTCTCCTGATAGGTTTTAATCATGGAATAGATCTGAAAGTTCAAAGTAGAAAAGTCTACTTTACTGCATCTGTGATAGGTAAGTTGAATTATTCACTCAGTTGTTTACATGTTAAGTAAGGTAATACCATGGCATTACAGGCCCATTGATCCTCTTGTTTAAACCATGGCATTACAATCCTATTGTTTCAAAGTGGGTGTAATGAAATAGGTTGATAGCTATTGCTGTAATCTCATTCGTCTTGTTGTAAAACATAAATAAAACCATCACCTCAATACAAGTATAACACCAGGTTTACGTGCGCAATTTTACGAAATGTTAGATTATTAGTCATCATTTATGTTATATATATCATGCAGCTTGTATCTTTGTTTTACTAGGTCAAAGGCCAGATAGAAATTTTTCTGTATTTTCGGTTATTTGATAATAATTTTTTTATGATAAGGTGATGTTGAACTTTGTTGTGACAGGGTATGGTGTGGGGCTGTTGTTCACATTTGCAGCTTTATACTTTATGGAGACTGGCCAACCAGCACTCCTGTACCTTGTGCCTTGTACACTTGTAACAACAATGGTGATTGGTTGTTGTCGGGGAGAATTCAAACTCTTGTGGAACGGTGATAAAAAGGTGAGAACTTCAACCTCTGATACTACAAGCTATGAATTCTATACAAATACATATTATAAAAACTGATACATGAGGCAGGGAATTCTCATGAAATTTCTGATTCTTGTATGTCTCTTTCATGCCATTGGTCACTTTTACTATTAAAATTATGTCATAGAAAATTTACTATTACTTGTACTAGTTAATGTCAGGCTGGTACAGACATTTTATACAAATTTAAACAAGTTAATGTCAGGCTAGTAGACATTTTATACAAATTTAAACTAGTTAATGTCATTCTGGTACAGACATTTTATACAAATTTAAACTAGTTAATGTCAGTCTGGTACAGACATTTTATACAAATTTAAACTAGTTAATGTCAGGCTGGTACAGACATTTTATACAAATTTAAACTAGTTAATGTCAGTCTGGTACAGACATTTTATACAAATTTAAACTAGTTAATGTCAGGCTGGTACAGACATTTTATACAAATTTAAACTAGTTAATGTCAGGCTGGTACAGACATTTTATACAAATTTAAACTAGTTAATGTCAGGCTGGTACAGACATTTTATACAAATTTAAACTAGTTAATGTCAGTCTGGTACAGACATTTTATACAAATTTAAACTAGTTAATGTCAGTCTGGTACAGACATTTTATACAAATTTAAACTAGTTAATGTCAGTCTGGTACTGACATTTTATACAAATTTAAACTAGTTAATGTCATTCTGGTACAGACATTTTATACAAATTTAAACTAGTTAATGTCAGGCTAGTAGACATTTTATACAAATTTAAACTAGTTAATGTCAGTCTGGTACAGACATTTTATACAAATTTAAACTAGTTAATGTCAGGCTGGTACAGACATTTTATACAAATAGTCTGGCACACAAAACAGGTTAGACATACCCAACAATATATATTATTGTACAGCTAACCCAGAATGACACACAACATACATTATTTTACAAGCATGTTAGACTTACTCAACAAACAATTCTTAACAGCTTGGTTTGGTGAACCCTTAAACACACATACATTATTGTACAACAGAGTTAGCTTAACAAACCACACATCATTAAACAGAGAGTTTAACCTAACACAACAAACACAGGATATTAAAAAGAAGGTTTAACCTAACACAACAAACACAGGATATTAAACAGAGGGTTTAACCTAACACAAACACAGGATATTAAACAGAGGGTTTAACCTAACACAACAAACACAGGATATTAAACAGAAGGTTTAACCAAACACAAACAACACAGGATAAAAACAGAGGGTGTAATCTAAAACAACAACACACAGGATATTAAACAGAGGGTTTAACCTAACACAACAAACACAGGATATTAAACAGAAGGTTTAACCTAACACAACAAACACAGGATATTAAACAGAAGGTTTAACCTAACACAACAAACACAGGATATTAAACAGAGGGTTTAACCTAACACAACAAACACAGGATATTAAACAGAGGGTTTAACCTAACACAACAAACACAGGATATTAAACAGAGGGTTTAACCTAACACAACAAACACAGGATATTAAACAGAGGGTTTAACCTAACACAACAACACACAGGATATTAAACAGAGGGTTTAACCTAACACAACAAACACAGGATATTAAACAGAGGGTTTAACCTAAAATAACAACACACAGGATATTAAACAGAGGGTTTAACCTAACACAACAAACACAGGATATTAAACAGAGGGTTTAACCTAACACAACAAACACAGGATATTAAACAGAAGGTTTAACCTAACACAACAAACACAGGATATTAAACAGAGGGTTTAACCTAACACAACACACACAGGATATTAAACAGAGGGTTTAACCTAACACAAAAACACAGGATATTAAACAGAGGGTTTAACCTAAAACAACAACACACAGGATATTAAACAGAGGGTTTAACCTAACACAACAAACACAGGATATTAGATGGGGTTTAACCTAAACCAACAACACACATGCTATTAAGCAGAGGGTTTAACCTAACAAAGCTAACATAGGTTATTTAACAGAGTGTGTAACCTTACACAACAAACACATGTTATTGTACAGCTGGGTTTACCATACACATATTCTGCTGTGTATTTCTCTAGTCAGTGATTTTCTAATGGAATGTGAGATCTTTTCTTAATTCAGTGCCCAAAAAAGGATGACGATCTGCGGGATGAAACTACTGATAGGGTGATTCCTCCCACTGAACCTCAATCTGCCAATGTTGATGCTGACAGTGTCAGAATCAGTATCTCCAGTTCATCCAGTACAGATGAACTGCTGCGATGACTAGGGTGGTCCCAGCAGAGGGAGAGATCTGCTGTGAGAAGACAAGGAGAGGCCCCAATATCTGGGGTTGGAAGAAGATCTACAAGTATGGAGACTTGGGCACTCCTTGGGGACAAGTACAATGACGAAATATTAGATGTATGATGTGTGTTATGAGATCAATCTGTGATTGTTCAATGTTCAAACATGGTCAGAATTATACACTGTTCCAGCAACATATCTACTTCACACTGAACTCCCAAAGAAATGACATTTCTTATTACCTGTAAGTAATTTTATGAGTGAACCCATAAACATATAGATAGATGTTTTACTGGAATAGCACTAAACAAAACCTGGAGTCCTGGGGGGATAGATGGAGTCCTTGGGGATAGACGTTTAACTGGAATAGCCCTAAACAAAACCTGTAGTCCTGGGGTGGGATAGATGTTTTACTGGAATAGCCCTAAACAAAACCTGGAGTCCTGGGGGTGAAATAGATGTTTTACTCGAATAGCCCTAAACAAAACCTGGAGTCCTGGGGTGAGATAGATGTTTTACTGGAATAGCCCTAAACAAAACCTGGAGTCCTGGGGGGATAGATGTTTTACTGGAATAGCCCTAAACAAAACCTGGAGTCCTGGGGTGGGATAGATGTTTTACTGGAATAGCCCTAAACAAAACCTGGAGTCCTGGGGTGAGGTAGATGTTTTACTGGAATAGCCCTTAACAAAACCTGGAGTCCTGGGGGATAGATGTTTTACTGGAATAGCCCTAAACAAAACCTGGAGTCTTGGGGGATAGATGTTTTACTGGAATAGCCCTAAACAAAACGTGTAGTCCTGGGGGATAGATGTTTTACTGGAATAGCCCTAAACAAAACGTGTAGTCCTGGGGTTGGGGTGTTTTACCTAAATAGCCATTATGTGGATTATATCAAAGTCTGCATCTGAGAAACAAGAGATAATTGGTTTTGATCTTGATTGTGTTTTACCTAGTACATGCAACATTTTGTTATACTATCAAGTTTGTCATATGGAAATATAAAATATGATTAGATTATTGTAAGTAATTGGGTTGTTGAAAGCAAAGCACAGGTTATTCACTTTGAAGATTGACAGAGAATAACACTTTTGTATGAAACGTTCAAAATAGAACAGACAATAATGTTGATGAGTGTAAAGAGCTGTGTAAGTAACTTCTGTGGAGGAAACTCACTTGTCTACATTTGATTGTACATTCCTTGTGGTGACACTCAAAATGAAGATGAGATCTCTTTGCTTGCTCTATCACCTTGTTTACAGCTCTAAGATAAAAGATGTTTGGTGATGCTACACACCTGTAGCCCACTCTTCTGTATTATAGCTGGAATAATGCAAGTGTATGGCAATCAAGCACTTTAACAATAAACCGGGAAATTAGAGCATTATTATAATTGAAATTTGCCTGTCAACTCTTACCAAGAAATTATGGATGAAAACTTAAGAACTAACATGAGGAAAAGAAGAAGATCTAAACATGTAAATTGTCTATTTTTAGCCTACCATCATCAGATGGTGAGCTATTCAAATCGCTCTGCCTTCGTGGTCTGTGCGTCTGTATAGTTATTGTTGTCATTATTTCTTGAAAAATACTGGATGGATCTTTCTCAAATTGCGTATGTAGGTTCCCCTTGGTCCCTAGTTGTGCCAGTTGTATTTTTGGACTGATCAAATAAACCTGTCGGCCATCTTGGATTTTTATTCTTTTAAAGAAGTTTGTTATCAGTTTTTTTATAGAAGTACTTGGTGGATCTTTCTTAAATTTCATAGATAGGTTTCCCTTGGTCCCGTCCCTAGTTGTGCCTGGTTGAGTTTGGGACTGATCTGAAAATAATTTCCACATAGGAATGTTCAAATGTCTGATCATTAAGAGTAAAAACAGAGAAGAGAAAAGAAGGGAAAAAATCCAACTTTCAAAGAGCAAATAAAGATCAAACAATGGTGGGTGCCAAGATCCCTCTGGGAACTCTTGTATCTGTGATAAAGGGAGTAAAAGGGAAAGAGTTTTGCAAAATGATTATGTCTGTATATATCTTACTCGAATCTGTGATCTAAAAAACCTTTTTGAGGCAACTAAATTGTGAGTTGAAATAATGTAATAAATTCTCAAAATCTACTGTGTTTGATAAACTATTTTAATTTTATGCGTCTTTTCTATTTTAGGGGAGGCATATAGTCATAGCTTGTCTGTTTCATCATGTCCTATTCCAAATCCGTTTCATATCTAGAAAAACACTGGAAAGATTTTGCCTATATTGATTTCCAAATAAGATCTACTCCTGGTCATTTATCTTTAGCGGCCGCGTGTCACTTACTGAACAATTCGTGACTCTACATTTTCTATTCTGTATTCATTTCAACAGATGTTTGGTTTTCTATGAGATTTGCTATGACTAGGAAAGGATGTAAATACTGTGATGTATTGCACAAACATTTGAAAAGATAGGTCATCATTCAATACCTTGCCTTATGCTTTTTTACTCATATAAAGTCACTGTAACAGGTTGACAATTCTAAATTGTGTGTTCTCTGCTGGCCCTGATTTACTGGTACAGTCAGTATATCCTAAGTATAATGACCAGCAGGTTGTTTCTGGAAAAATAACGATCAAAGTAAGACTTACACATTAAAGTGAAAATTTCACAAAAAATCCATCACAGACTCTTTCTGTTAATTAGTTGGTGTTAGATGAATATGTTACATCGGTATTTTGTGAATATTCTTTTTGAAAACCAATTTTCAGTTAGAATTGACACTATAGCCTTTGAATACAGTAAGTTGGGCATCTTATTAGTTTGTACAATAACACAGCCTGATAGCTGTACTTGGAGCATGAATTGTCAAAACAGAAAACACCATACACTCATATGTCAGAGTTGAGAGCGATAGTTTTCTTATGATTTATATTTCAATGCATTTTTGTTTTGGTGTTTACTGTTAATTGGAAGTTATTGGGATACAAATCTTCATTTTACAGGGAAATAATTATATGGGTGTATGGTAGACATCATTATTACTATTGATTCTTGAACAATTTAATAAAAAACAGTTTTCACACAAATGTGTGTTAAAAAAGTCACATGATCACAGAATCATATATGCTTTTTCAATTTCATATGAAACTTTGAAGATTTTTTCCCATTTTATCAATCTTGGATGAAATTGAAACTCATAGATGTACCTGTATTTCTACTTTTCTATACAGTACTGTGTGGATGTCTCCTGTTGCAGTATCACACTAGTATCATATTTATTTAATTATGTTGTCATGCTTGTATTTTTGTGTAAAATCTGATTAATGTATATTTTATATGTTGTGTCCTGTTAATTCAGCGCTTGGATTCAATAAACTTGGGTCAGAGAAATCTGTATCATGTACCAATAACACCCAGTATATCAGATCTAAAGGTTCTCCGGAAAACCGAAATCCTATAAGACCTGTATTGTTCATCCGTTTTAATTTGTTCATAATTACTTTATCCAAACAGAAGGAATTTGAAACCTTACCACCCTTTACCCTATTGGAGCCAGATTTCTCATATTGAGGCCAGCCCAAAGGGTTAGAAATATACAGTTTTACTCTTCGTTCAAACTTTGCTCATTTAAAAAGCTATCTTGATCAATTGCAGGATTGTTAGGTGTAGGTCACCATTGCTCTTTTGAGAAAAAATCTGTCCGTCGTCGTTCATCGAGGGATTCTCATAAACTTTATCACCATCAGGAAGCATCAGCAATAGTAGTGTTCATCTGTTAAATCAATTTCATCAATGAATTCTCGCCAAATCAATTAAGAATTCCAGTGATTGATGATGATAGTATTTATAATGTTACAATTAGTCAGATAGTAATTTCCTGTGACTCACTAGCTCCTAGTCATCACCAAATTATTAAACATCTATAAAGTAGTACTAAAGTCAAATGATGCAAGGACAACCATGTCCCATCATGTCCGACTTCATGGACAGTTTGTTGTCCTGTATGATATCAAAATGTATACCTCAAAAGTAATCCTAAAAGTGTTTCCTTGCCAGGAATTCAAAGATAAGGTCCAAAAATTCCTGGTCGCTACATCTTGTTTCCTGGGGAGGCAACATTGCACATCAGTCTTTGGTTTAGTTTCATTTCCTTGTAATGTTCTTGGGTGAGTCTGTTGTTTTTCTACACCAATACTTGGAGACAGCATAAGGATATGAGCAAGGAACTGATATCATATGAACCTTCAGCCATCAGAGTGACAGCATACAACAATGTACAGTTTTACTGTATGTTTGCATTGTTCAATGACTTATCAACAGCTATCGTCATTTAAGGACAGCCTCTTTTTTTTCAATACTAGTGCATGTGTTTTCTGGAGTTTGCAACATGTTCAGGAAAACCTTGTGATAGTATGAACTGCAGTTGACTTTGAACAGCACTCCAACGCAGAGTTTTGATTGACATTGATTGCCGTCCTATCATAAACTTAAATATTCATGAACTGATAACCATTGTATTGGTTTATATATTTATATATATATATATTGTGTATGGCTTCACGGGTGAGTGGACTTGTTGGAATGCGGCTGGTATTAAGGCCGGATACGCCATCATTTTACGAAAATGTAGAAATGGATGTATTTTAGGAAATTTGATAGTAAGTCTAACGTACTTATATTTCAGCTCGAAACCCAGTTATTAAGAGATTGCCCATATTTACTTATGACAAGGTTCGGTTCGGTGTAATCCATGTATGAGGCAGTGAGGCTGTCATTGATGGTCCTGTAGGTTTGAGGAGAATGACTTTATACTCCATGGAAATCAAGTGCAATGAACAGTATTGTTCCAGTATGTACCCATCTTTAGGTACATACATGTATGGACATGCTACTGAAATACTGTTTGATCCTGACTGTGTTCTGTGTGACCACTGTATGGACATGCACCCGAAATACTGTTTGATCCTGACTGTGTCCTGTGTGACCACTGTATCTACATGTACCCGAAATACCGTATGATCCCGACTGTGTCCTGTGTGACCACTATATCTACATGTACCCGAAATACTGTATGATCCCGACTGTGTCCTGTGTGACCACTGTATGGACATGTACTCGACATGCTGTATGATCCTGTGTTCTGTGTGACCACTGTATGGACATGTACCCAATATGCTGTATGATCCTGACTGTGTTCTGTGTGACCACTGTACAGACATGTACCCGACATGCTGTATGATCCTGTGTTCTGTGTGACCACTGTATCTACATGTACCCAAAATACTGTATAATCCTGACTGTGTCCTGTGTGACCACTGTATGGACATGTACTCGACATGCTGTATGATCCTGTGTCCTGTGTGACCACTGTACAGACATGTACTCGACATGCTGTATGATCCTGTGTCCTGTGTGACCACTGTACAGACATGTACTCGACATGCTGTATGATCCTGACTGTGTTCTGTGTGACCACTGTACAGACATGTACTCGACATGCTGTATGATCCTGTGTTCTGTGTGACCACTGTACAGACATATACTCGACATGCTGTATGATCCTGACCGTGTCCTGTGTGACCACTGTATTGACATGTACCCAACATTCTGTATGATCCTGTGTTCTGTGTGACCACTGTACAGACATGTACTCGACATGCTGTATGATCCTGTGTTCTGTGTGACCACTGTATGGACATGCTGTACCACTGTAATGTACTGTATGATCCTGTGTTCTGTGTGACCACTGCTGTATGATCCTGTGTTGATCTGTGTGTGTGACCACTGTACAGACATGTACCCGACATGCTGTATGATACTGTGTTCTGTGTGACCACTGTACAGACATGTACTCGACATGCTGTATGATCCTGTGTTCTGTGTGACCACTGTACAGACATGTACTCGACATGCTGTATGATCCTGTGTTCTGTGTGACCACTGTATGGACATGTACCCGACATGCTGTATGATCCTGTGTTCTGTGTGACCACTGTATGGACATGTACTCGACATGCTGTATGATCCTGTGTTCTGTGTGACCACTGTACAGACATGTACCCGACATGCTGTATGATCCTGTGTCCTGTGTGTGACCACTGTATGGACATGTACTCGACATGCTGTATGATCCTGTGTTCTGTGTGACCACTGTACAGACATGTACCCGACATGCTGTATGATCCTGTGTTCTGTGTGACCACTGTACAGACATGTACTCGACATGCTGTATGATCCTGTGTTCTGTGTGACCACTGTTGTACTGTGTGTATGATCCTGTGTTCTGTGTGACCACTGTATGACATGACATGTACCTGTGTTCTGTGTGACCATGCTGTATGATGCTGTATGATCCTGTGTTCTGTGTGACCACTGTACAGACATGTACCCGACATGCTGTATGATCCTGTGTTCTGTGTGACCACTGTACAGACATGTACTCCACATGCTGTATGATCCTGTGTTCTGTGTGACCACTGTACAGACATGTACCCGACATGCTGTATGATCCTGTGTTCTGTGTGACCACTGTACAGACATGCTGTATGATCCTGTGTTCTGTGTGACCACTGTACAGACATGTACCCATGCTGTACATGCTGTATGATCCTGTGTTCTGTGTGTGTGACCACTGTACAGACATGTACCATGTACCCGAGCTGTATGATCCTGTGTTCTGTGTGACCACTGTATGTACCTGCTGTATGATCCTGTGTTCTGTGTGACCACTGTACAGACATGTACCCGACATGCTGTATGATCCTGTGTTCTGTGTGACCACTGTACAGTGTACTCTGCTGTATGATCCTGTGTTCTGTGTGACCACTGTATGGACATGTACCCGACATGCTGTATGATCCTGTGTTCTGTGTGACCACTGTACAGACATGTACTCGACATGCTGTATGATCCTGTGTTCTGTGTGACCACTGTATCCTGTGTTCTGTGTGACCACTGTACAGACATGTACCCGACATGCTGTATGATCCTGTGTTCTGTGTGACGACTGTACAGACATGTACCCGACATGCTGTATGATCCTGTGTTCTGTGTGACCACTGTACAGACATGTACCCGACATGCTGTGTATGATCCTGTGTTCTGTGTGACCACTGTACAGACATGTACTCGACATGCTGTATGATCCTGTGTTCTGTGTGACCACTGTATGGACATGTACTCGACATGCTGTATGATCCTGTGTTCTGTGTGACCACTGTACAGACATGTACCCGACATGCTGTATGATCCTGTGTTCTGTGTGACCACTGTACAGACATGTACCCGACATGCTGTATGATCCTGTGTCCTGTGTGACCACTGTATGGACATGTACCCGACATGCTGTATGATCCTGTGTTCTGTGTGACCACTGTATGGACATGTACCCGACATGCTGTATGATCCTGTGTTCTGTGTGACCACTGTATGGACATGTACCCGACATGCTGTATGATCCTGTGTTCTGTGTGACCACTGTACAGACATGTACCCGACATGCTGTATGATCCTGTGTTCTGTGTGACCACTGTACAGACATGTACCCGACATGCTGTATGATCCTGTGTTCTGTGTGACCACTGTACAGACATGTACCCGACATGCTGTATGATCCTGACCGTGTCCTGTGTGTGACCACTGTACAGACATGTATGCTGTATGATCCTGTGTTCTGTGTGACCATGATCCTGTGTTCTGTGTGACCACTGTGTGTACCACTGTATGATCCTGTGTTCTGTGTGACCACTGTATGGACATGTACCCGACATGCTGTATGATCCTGTGTTCTGTGTGACCACTGTACAGACATGTACCCGACATGCTGTATGATCCTGTGTTCTGTGTGACCACTGTACAGACATGTACCCGACATGTGACCACTGTGTTCTGTGTGACCACTGTACATGTACCCGACATGCTGTATGATCCTGTGTTCTGTGTGACCACTGTATGACATGTACCTGTGTTCTGTGACATGCTGTATGATCCTGTGTTCTGTGTGACCACTGTACAGACATGTACTCGACATGCTGTATGATCCTGTGTTCTGTGTGACCACTGTACAGACATGTACTCGACATGCTGTATGATCCTGTGTTCTGTGTGACCACTGTACAGACATGTACTCGACATGCTGTATGATCCTGTGTTCTGTGTGACCACTGTACAGACATGTACCCGACATGCTGTATGATCCTGACTGTGTCCTGTGTGACCACTGTACAGACATGTACCCGACATGCTGTATGATCCTGTGTTCTGTGTGACCACTGTACAGACATGTACCCGACATGCTGTATGATCCTGTGTTCTGTGTGACCACTGTACAGACATGTACTCGACATGCTGTATGATCCTGTGTTCTGTGTGACCACTGTACAGACATGTACCCGACA